CACGCTTCGAGCATGGTGGAGGGGGGCGGGGGCCCGAGAGGGGCGAGGCCCGCCCCGTGGAGATACCACCACACGCCAAGCAGATCACAACCTCACCAAAGGCCACGGCGAGGACGTGGCCTCTGGCGGAATTCGGGGGAAGGTAACCGTTCGCGGGCAACTCGCGCCCAGGACGAACGCCGGGCACAACGGAGCCTCCACGGGGAGCCACGCGACGCGACTGATGCGGTGACTCTTGGGCAGGAAAGGAAGGGGGGCGTCGGAGTCGGTCGGCGGCGGCAGCGATGGCTTCGTCGGCGCCGCCCCTGAACCCCACCCTCCCCGCGCCATCATTCGGAAAGGCGTCCGAGTCCAGCCGGGCTGAGCGCGCCGACGGTGGCTGAGTCCCCCCCGGCCGAACGGCTCTGGGGGGCTCGAGGGACCCCCCAGGAGACCTCGAGCGCCCACGGGTCCGCGCATCGACCCCCCGCCCACGCCCCACCCCCCCCATCAGGGGACCTCGCAGAGGCGGAAATTCTGGCTGGGCAGAGGCGCTCGGCGTGGAGCCTTCGTTGCTGGTCAGAGCGCGCGTTGCGCCCGCGCGTAAAAGCACCTCCAACCCCATGCGACACAACAAAATAACAAAACAAACAATAACGGAAATTCAAAGCTTCCCCGTCGGCCCCCGCGGCCATCGACTGGCGACGGCGACGACGATCATCAAAGCCTGGGGAGACGGTTTGGCCCATGTAACGAGTGCGCGCCTTGGCCATCCAGATCATTCACCGGGCAAAAACGAGCTTTGACAGCTTGGACCTGGGCCTCAGGAACAGAGTGAAGGCCCCTGCCTTGAACAGCAGCAGAATCGGCCCAACGGTTCCCTGGGGCCTCTATGGGACGACCTTTCTGATAGCCAAGCGTGTAGGCAATCTGCAAATCTGGGCTCAGTCCTCCAAGGTCCTCAATCCTCGCCTAGATGTCGACCCAAAGGTCGGCGTTGGGGCGCTTCGGCGCGCAACACCAAGCCTTGCCGCGGCTGAGCCCCTGCGGCAGCTCGATGAAACCCGCGAGCACGGCGATTGGGAGACGAGCGATCCTCAGCACCTGTGCAATAGCGTACACTTCGGCTCTCGGGCTCGTCTGTATCGGTCCTGGTAACGCACCGTACACACATAATGAAACTGCGGAATCGGAAACTTGGGCGAACCCCCATCCTGCACGGCAGGTGTCGTTCCAGAAATGATAATTGAGGCAAGCTCCATCAGAAAACAAATTACCCTGGCGACGTACCCAACCCCTGCGCAAACGCGGGGCGCAAATAGTTTAGGACACTTCATAAAGGGGGCGATGACGGAACGAAGGTTACATATGTCTGCAGACGGAATTCGGGACACTCGCAGGACACTGGCTACAGGACAAGGACTAGATAAAGCTGGTTAGTTACAATCCCTGAGCAACCCTAGCCACTTCGAAGGCGGGGATCTCAGATCGCAGCCCCCCAGGGATGGCGAGGTCTAATTTGGGCCCGCGCGTGGCGACACTAGGCTGGGCCCCCCAGCAGGCCTCGAAAGTGGCGACAGTTTCACAGATCGCAGCCCCCCAGGGATGGCGAGGTCTAATTTGAATCTGCGTGTGGCGTCACTGTGCTGGGCCCCCCAGCAGGCCTCGAAAGTGGCGACAGTTTCACAGATCGCAGCCCCCCAGGGATGGCGAGGTCTAATTTGAGTCCGCGGTGAGTACCCACTGTGCTGGGCCCCCCAGCAGGCCTCGAAAGTGGCGACAGTTTCACAGATCGCAGCCCCCCAGGGATGGCGAGGTCAATTTGAGTCCGCCGTGGTACCCACTGTGCTGGGCCCCCCAGCAGGCCTCGAAAGTGGCGACAGTTTCACAGATCGCAGCCCCCCAGGGATGGCGAGGTCCCATTTGAATCCGCCCGTGGTACCCACTGTGCTGGGCCCCCCAGCAGGCCTCGAAAGTGGCGACAGTTTCACAGATCGCAGCCCCCCAGGGATGGCGAGGTCCCATTTGAGTCCGCCGTGGGTACCCACTGTGCTGGGCCCCCCAGCAGGCCTCGAAAGTGGCGACAGTTTCACAGATCGCAGCCCCCCAGGGATGGCGAGGTCATTTGAGTCCGCCGTGGGTACCCACTGTGCTGGGCCCCCCAGCAGGCCTCGAAAGTGGCGACAGTTTCACAGATCGCAGCCCCCCAGGGATGGCGAGGTCTAATTTGAATCCGCCGTGGTACCCACTGTGCTGGGCCCCCCAGCAGGCCTCGAAAGTGGCGACAGTTTCACAGATCGCAGCCCCCCAGGGATGGCGAGGTCCCATTTGAGTCCGCCGTGGGTACCCACTGTGCTGGGCCCCCCAGCAGGCCTCGAAAGTGGCGACAGTTTCACAGATCGCAGCCCCCCAGGGATGGCGAGGTCCCATTTGAAACCGCCGTGGGTACCCACTGAGCTGGGTCCCCCAGCAGCCCTCGAAAGTGGCGACAGTTTCACAGATCGCAGCCCCCCGGGGATGGCGAGGTCCAACTTGAGTCCGCCGTGGGTACCCTCTGTGCTGGGCCCCCCAACAGCCTCGAAAATGGCGACAGTTTCACAGATCACAGCCCCCCAAGGATGGCGAGGTCTAATTTGAATCCGCCGTGGGTACCCACTGTACTGGGCCCCCCAGCAGGCCTCGAAAGTGGCGACAGTTTCGCAGCCCCCCAGGGATGGCGAGGTCCAATTTGAATCCGCCGTGGGTACCCTCTGTGCTGGGCCCGCCAGCAGGCCTCGAAAACTGTGCTGGCAGCACATGGCGCAGTTTCACAGATCGCAGCCCCCCAGGGATGGCGAGGTCTAATTTGAATCCGCGCGTGGCCCTCACTGTGCTGGGCCCCCCAGCAGGCCTCGAAAATGGCGACAGTTTCACAGATCGCAGCCCCCCAGGGATGGCGAGGTCTAATTTGAATCCGCGCGTGGCCCTCACTGTGCTGGGCCCCCCAGCAGGCCTCGAAAATGGCGACAGTTTCGCAGATCGCAGCCCCCCAGGGATGGCGAGGTCTAATTTGAATCCGCGCGTGGCCCTCACTGTGCTGGGCCCCCCAGCAGGCCTCGAAAATGGCGACAGTTTCGCAGATCGCAGCCCCCCAGGGATGGCGAGGTCTAATTTGAATCCGCGCGTGGCCCTCACTGTGCTGGGCCCCCCAGCAGGCCTCGAAAATGGCGACAGTTTCGCAGATCGCAGCCCCCCAGGGATGGCGAGGTCTAATTTGAATCCGCGCGTGGCCCTCACTGTGCTGGGCCCCCCAGCAGGCCTCGAAAATGGCGACAGTTTCGCAGATCGCAGCCCCCCAGGGATGGCGAGGTCTAATTTGAATCCGCGCGTGGCCCTCACTGTGCTGGGCCCCCCAGCAGGCCTCGAAAATGGCGACAGTTTCACAGATCGCAGCCCCTCGCAGGCAAGACAGGAAGAGGCAGGGAGGGAGGGAGGAGGAGGAGGAAGGAGTGGAGACCACACTGCTCTATTCAAAACGAATACCCAACCAAAGAGGGTTGGGAAAAAAATCATTCCCGGCACAAATGAACAGTCTCCGTAGGAACGGTATGCCAGTCCATCGAATCGTCACGCGGGGGTATTTGTGGTAGGAACGCTTTGGAGTAGAGCCCTCTGCACCAAAACCAGGCCGTGTGGGTCGGGCAGGGCAAGACCGCAATGCCTGCAGCATCGTAGAGCGTATTCTTCCGTGGCACCGCATGTCCATGGAATGCGACAGCAATCGGCTCCACTGCGGGAGCAGAGCACACACGTAGGGCTGCCAATGTACCCGAGAGAATGGCGACAAACGGGCGGCCACGTCATCCCCGTGAACAAAGCTCTTAGCGTGCCCGTCTGTTGGAGGGATCATATGTGTGGACGGTCGGGGTCGTCCTCTCGCGAGTCCTTCGGAGAATGACAAATACAGGCTCCAGCCAGTAACCCACAGGACTACTGGGGTCCAAGTTCTGCGAAGTGTCGCGATTGGGCCGTTGGCCCAGTCCGCCCATAGCCTACGCACAGCAACGGCACGAGCGACGTCCCGCAGGGCCGTGGGTGGCAAGCTCCTGAAATCAAGTGTGTCTTCAATGTCAGTCCGCACGTGGAAGGCCGAAGACGCACACCATCTCATATCGTGGCCCCAGCAGGTCCTCCTAGCCCCCAGGGGTGAGCAGCCTTGAGCACCACAGGCGCCGTGCGCTGCCAAGCCAACTGAAGGAGATCGTGTAACCGCGAGTCCCTGGAGGAGGAGGAGGAGGAGGAAGAGGAAGAGGAGGAGGAGGAGGTGGAGATTGCCAGCATGGCAGCGGGGGGCGTCACGCCCGCCCGATCCTCACCCTCCTGATGTTCGTTATCGCCATCCTCGCTCTCCTGGCCCTCCTACTCCACATCCTCACCCTCCTGCTCCACGCTCTCCTGATCCTCACCCGCATGACCCTCACTCTCCTGATCCTCCCCCTCGTTAGCCTCGCCCTTCTGATCCTCACGCTCATTATCATCTCGATCATGTTCCTCTCGCCGAGAAGCGTACGCCTCTTCTTCTACATACAAGAACTCCCGATCAACCGCAGGGCGGCCAGCTACGAACTCGGAGGTCCACGCGGATTCCGTGAATCGGCGATGGAGTCTCCTGGCGGCGCCTCCGACGCCGCCCGTGGCGCGCTCCGCGCGCCAGGGAGGGGTGTCCAGCGCCGATCCGAGGAATCCGCGCGGACCTCCGAGTTTGTATGTTTATGCCATTGTTCGTTCCATGATGAGAGTAAGTTCGATTCGCGGCGATCATGGGCGTTTTGGGGGGGCGAACGGGGTGAAGGCGTAGCGTAACGTCCCCGCCCCCACCCTGACAGGCTGTGGTGCCAGACGCACTGCGGCAGTGCTGAGGGCGCAATAGGGGTGGAGCGTCACGTTATGGTGGGGGAAGCGGGGGAGGGTGAGGGAGAGGGGGGGGAATAACGCGCTTTCTTGCCCAGAGGGTAAACAAACAAATGAGTACGGGGGCCCTCCTTCAGCGGGACGCACAGAACGTTGTGCGTCCTGAAGCCCGTCTTCTTGTCGACCGCCACGTTGAAGCGGGCATCTGCGCACGCGTCGTTGCTGATGATTGTCTTTCCGGTCATGGCAACGTGGCCAGCGATGCCAGCGCTGATGGGGATCCGCAACTCTCCATCAGTCGAGTTCACCGTGGAGTAAAGCTCCTGCCGAGCGGCGTCCACCAGGAACACAGACGCGACCTCCGCACCCACCAACTTCTTGGCCTCCTCCATGATTTGGCGCAGGATGTACTCCACGCTGTGGTCGGAATTCACCAGCAGCGAGCTCTGTATTAGAGCGTCCAGCGTGCGTGTGAGCAAACCGTCAGCAGAGAAATCCCTGCCGGAACGGCGGCTGCGAATCGTCTTTCGGATGGCATGGCGGTGCACCCAGAAAACCTCGTCGAAATATTCGTTGATGGCGCTGTGCAGCGTGTGATTGGGGTACATGTCGGTCTGAGAGAGCTCCAGCCCAGTGACTGGCGAGGTGGTGTTGCGGGAAAGCCAACGCTCGATGTGCTGCCTCTCATACGTGTGACCGTCCCCAAGCATCACGGGATCGTGCATGCACTGCTGCGAGATCGGGCAGAGGAAGGAAGTCGGGTGCTTCCACTCGTGCGGCAGCACTGTGCTGAGCTCCTGGTTGTGGCGAGGAAGCAGGCTGATGGAGCGGGACATGAAGGAAAGCCTGTGCGGCTCCTACGTCGTTGGCGCGCGCGGCGTTGTGGCCAGGGATTATTTCCCGCTGGCGATCAGGCCCAAATCTATTGAGCCGCCAAAGCTGTGGTTTCGGGAACGTGTTGGAAACTCTAGATAAGAAAACGGCATAGAAACATCAACTGTCGGAGGTCCTTGCATATGTCTGGGGTCGGCTCCGGACCCCTTCCCAGGCGCGCGGGGCGCGCAAGGGGCGGCGCCTGAAGCGCCGCTAGGGGGGGCCCAGCGCCGATCCAAGAAATTCGCGCCGCCGATCCAGAAATTGATGTTGGCTCATGCCGCTTCTTAAGTCACCCAACTTCGCGCATCGCGTCCCGCGATGCGCGGCGCGCGACTACCTTCGCGCCCGCGCGACGCTGCCCTGGAGAAGGGCGCCTTTCCAACCCAAGCCGAGCGAAACGCGAGTATCGTCACGCTCCTGGGGGTGCAGCTGTGTTCTAGAGCTCGGAGCTATTTATTCTCGTGGCAATGGCCGCGATCGGGCCCTTCTGGCCTTGCTCCGTGACGCGGGGCCCCTTTTTGTCCGTCGTCGTTCGCCTCCCTAGCCATCTCGGACCTCCCTGGCTTCCCTGCACCGTCCCCACGTTTCTTGCTGCCCCTCGCCGCTCCCTCGTGCACGAGCCAGGGCACGCGTGCAACGTGTGGCTCGAAACACTGAGGCCGTGGGGCTCTTTGGGGCGCCCTCCAGTTAAACACGTCCATGGGCGAGGGTGCTTGCTCCAGTTCGAGGCTATGCGCGGGGGGTCTCTCCAAGTGATTCCTCGGGGCGGCGGGCCGAGGGAGACTCCTGGAGGCCTGCCAGGCACATCTTGCGGGCTATACGTGGGCTGGTGCGGGTCGTGATGAGCCCGCGTGGGGCCATCGCGGGAGCCACACAGGACGCACGTGGCTCGTCTCGAAGCCGTAATGAGCGTCAGGGAGCTGGGGGGGTCCACCACGCAGGGTCCCTGCCGAGCCCCCGACTCCAAGGCCGCGGGCAGGGGGCCGCTGCGACATGGTCCTGGGGCCGTGTGGGGGTATCTTGGACCGTTACAACCTTCTTGTGGGTCTCTTGAGTAGTCTTGGGTCCAAATTGGGTTCATTGGGGGTTCTCTTCGGCCGCCTGGCCCAAGATCTGGAAGCCCTGAAGACATCGTGGACCTCCCGTGGGACTTCAAAGTCCAATCGGTCACTACTAAAAGGTTAAATGTTTGTTGTCAAGCGAGCACGGCGACTGTTGTATTCGTGATAGCGCTAGAACACGCGGAGGAATTTCTTTTCACACTACCGAGATGACGAAACCCTCGAAACGTTTTGGCCAGGAGGTTAAAGTCGATGTACAATCTCACTCCTCACAGGGCGGGAGGGTGGGAGCCGAAGACAGGCCATGGAGAGAGAGAGGGGGGGGGCAAGTGCGAAAGAGAAATCCTGATGTATAAAGTTCCTGTGTCGTTTAGCAGGTGCATTGCGTCGTTAGACATCACCGAGTTCAACAAAAAAACAAAAACAAAAAACTCACAGGGCTCAGGAACATATATAGAGCAGCTCTGTTTTTTTTACATCGCAGGGACATGCATCAGGCGAGAGCCTCGGAACGTCTTGGCCAGAGGTTAATGTCGATGCAAACACTCACTCCCCCCCCCCCCCCCCCCCCCGAATTTCCCAAATTCGGGAGCCAACTCGGGCTGGTAGGGGGGGGGGGAAGAGGGGGGGGGGGGGGGCATTTGTTGTGCCAGAACGCAGCCACGCTGAAGGCCGCGAGGGCCCTGGCCATGCAGCGCGCGAGCTTGCGCGGATAAGGGGTAAGCGGCAGCTGGGCGGGCACGGGCGCCCCCCTCAAATTGGAAATGCGGGCGGCCCGATCGCGAGCACAGTCCATTCCGACCACGACGTGTACTACGCAGGTGTTCAAGGTCGTCAACCCCTACATAGCCAAACATCCAGCGAATTGGCTTCTTACACTGGGCTTTGAACTGGCACTGGATTACTTCAACCAGGCCAACGCGTGGCAGATTGGCCAGGGCCTGGATTCTACGAGCGCGCAACAAACGACAGGTGCGCGGGCGCTCGAGAACTGCAAGGATCTTGAGCTGCTGGAAAAGGGCGAACAGTTCCATGACGGCTCGAGCGCACTCCTTGCCTGTCTTGACTTCGTCCACGTCCGTCGCGCTGAGCGAATGCCCGGGCAAACCCCGGGGCTGGTCATGGGAGCGGATCTTCGCCGCCCTGTCACGGGCCATCGAGAATGTCTGCCATGGCGGTGCAAGAGCAGCAGCTAGAATGACACCTCGCAGAGCCCCACGTCTCATCGCGGCGAACACTCCGGGGTCGGCGAGGTTCTGCCGCGCCGGCTCGCGAGCCACACCCCACCAACTGCGGGCTCTAAATCTCAGCTTTTCGCCAGCTCGTGAGATGCATCTAGCGCCTGCCAAAAAATCAGCCACATAGCGGCCCTTGAGACCGAAACGCTGAGCACTGAGCCGCACTTCGCGGAACGTCGGCATTAGCTTGCAACGCGCGCCTGCCAGGTCAGCATCCGGTCGCGGAGGCGGGCCGGGTGGGCAAGACCCAACATGACTTGCATCAGGCGCGCCTCGCAGGCCTTGCACAGGCGCCTCTGATCCGCGGGGAAACGCTCGCGCTCGGCGCTCGGGCGGCCGCCGCGTTCGCGCCGATGCACGCCCCTCGCCCGGGCCCAGCGCCCGCGCCTCCGAATCTCCCCGAGCGCGCGGGCGCGCCCGCCGACGTCGACGCCGGCGCCGGAGTGGCGCCGCCGGCACAGCGTCAGCTTTCCTGCGCCGACCTCGGCCGCAGACGCCTGCGCTGCATCCGAAAGCTCCAGGTAGGTGAACGGCCACAGCTCCGCCGTTCCCCCGGCCCCCCAGAGCTGCGGAAAAAAAGGGGGCCCAGGCCGCGCAGGCAGCTCGATTCCCGAAGGCAACCCTCGTCGTGGCGTTTTATCCTGCTCGGCCTGCCCCCTCCTCCGGGCGCGCCAAGAGGCCGCGGCTGCCCGCGCTCGCGCGCGACGGCGGGGCGAGATCGCGCCTCCCAGCCGCCGCGGCAGAGAAGAGGGCCGCGAATAGGCCGACGTGCCGACCGCCACGAACGGGGCCATGGGCGGGATGCCCATGTCTACCAGGCACCGCATCATGGCCGCCCAAACGGCGAGGGGCAAGGCCTGGCGGCCACGCGACGGCGCCAGCCGCCTCCACGCCTGTAGGGCCCGCCACGCGCGAGGCAGGGATCGACCCCTCCGACTCCAGAAGGCCGGGTGCCTGTCCACAAGTGCGGCCCCCGTCTGGCCATCGAGGCTGCTCTGCCCCCCGATAGGCCATCGCGGCGAAGTAGTCGCAGACCAGACAATGCACCTGATCGCCCGTGGCCATCGCCAACTTCTCGTCGGTCAGGCCAGCACGCGAGTAAAAGCGATCGATATACTTGGCACGCCGCCCCCGCGTCCTGCGGGTCGCCGCCTGGCGCCCCAGCAGCGCGGGGCCCCCGGCGACGCTCTGCATTATCATGCCCGCGTAGAGAGCCGCGCGACGTCGGCGCCAGGAGTCCTGGGGGCGGCGCGATACCCTCTGAGCCGCGGTCGCGCGGTTCACCGAGCGGTCGGAGCCGCTCGAGTCGCGCCCGCCCCCCGCGCCCGCCCCGGCGTCGCCGGCGGAGGCCGCGGGATAGCGAGGTCCTCGAGCGTCAGCGGGGGCGGCAGCGGCGGCTCGCCGGGGAGGCCCTCCACCGGGGCCTGGACAGACCTCGCCTGCGGTTGGGGGGGCCGGCCTCCTGAGCACCCGAAACCCTAAACTTCGACTCGGAGGTCCGCAGAGCCTTCGGGCAAACGGCTGGGCAGGCGCTCGGCATCGGCGGGGCTCGCGAGGGCGCCGAGAGGCTCGCCATTGCCGGGGCCCGCGGCGGCCGCAGCGCCCGGGCCCGCGTCGGCGCGTACGAGCTCCTCAGGCATGGAAGCGAGACAAGCTGGCAGATCGTTCGAGGCAAAACGGCTACGGAAGGGACCAGAGGCAATCGCACTGCACGGGACACCGGTCAACAACTTAGCCGAGACCTCAGAGTGATCGCGGCCCCCGGCATCGCCCCGATTAAACTCCGAAAGGGGATCCGTCCGAAATAAAAGGGCGACGCCGAGGGCGAGGGCGCGCGCATTAAAGCGTCCGGTCTGGACCAACAACTTAAAGCCCTGACTCCTTGAGCGAGCGAAAGCGAGAACAACGGCCATATTGCCGCGCAAGAAAAACTGCCTGATGCAAGTCCCGCGTCTGGTCCGAGCGAGTCCGCGGATGGCCTTCACCAAAGCCCGGGCCTCCAGCATCAAGACCCCCCCTCTAAAGCCCAGACCCCCTTCCGGCCAGTTTTCCGCGCGGACCCTCGAAGGACTGCCGGGGGGCCTCCGGAAAATCCGCCACGACCTCCCAGTCGTCTGAGCAGATCATGTCTCCCAAGAGCTGACTTCTACAGTCGCCAGTGCCGTCACGGAGGAGGCGGGGGGAGGCGAGTGCGGACTCTCGAGCCGAGTGGGGGCCAGAGCGTTAACGCTCGGCGACGGCGGCCGGGGCTGCCAGCGGCGCTGGGGGCGAGCTGCCAACGTCCAACGACGCGCCCAAGGAGCAGGCGCCGGATGGTGACACAGGCGCGGCCGCTGGCCAAGCAGAGGCGCCGCAGGCTTCTGAGGGCGATGTTTCACGTTGTATTGTTGTGTCGCTGCTTGTTTCGCGAATGTCGCATGCATGGGGAAGCAGCCCCAGGGTTCGCAGGCTTGGTCCTATCTTGAGCAGAATGCAGACGCGCACCAGCTGTTGGCATTCTTAGAGACTCATGTTGAGGCCACGTCAGTGAAGCAGTGGCATAGAGCAGCCAAGTCTCTAGGTTTTCGTGCGCCATCAAGCACGCAGTCATTCTTGAATCCAGACAGGCTCACCGAGCCAACGAGGGGGGCGAGTGGCTCCTGGCTGGAGGCAGTAGGCAGGCCCACTCGTTAGCTGCAGCGCAGCACAAAGGATTGAAAGCCGATGGTGGGTAGTCGGAAGACGATTTCTGTGCCAGCACTGTTCATTCGCAGGGGTATAGCCTTGTCGTCATAGTTTGTCATTGC